GGTGGACTTCAACTCCCAGAATTCCCCAGCCAGTTTTAGCAACTATAGGACATGTGGACTTCAACTCCCAGAATTCCCCAGGCAGCCTTAGCAACTATAAGATCAACTCCCAGAATTCCCCAGCCTTAGCAAATATAAGAAGGGTAGACTTCATCTCTCAGAATTCCCCAGGCAGCTTTAGTCACTATAAGATGGGTGGACTTCAATTCCCAGAATTCCCCAGCCTTAAGCAACTATAAGAAGTGTGGACTTCAACTCCCAGAATTCCCTAGCCAGCATGCTGGAAATACGAAGTCCACAGATCTTCAGGTTGCCAAACTTGAAAAACACTGTTATAAACCAGTATTTCTCAATCTTGGCAATTTAAGATGGGTGGACTTCAACTCCCAGAATTCCCCAGCCAGTTTTAGCAACTATAGGACATGTGGACTTCAACTCCCAGAATTCCCCAGGCAGCCTTAGCAATTATAAGATCAACTCCCAGAATTCCCCAGCCTTAGCAAATATAAGAAGGGTAGACTTCGTCTCTCAGAATTCCCCAGGCAGCTTTAGTCACTATAAGATGGGTGGACTTCAATTCCCAGAATTCCCCAGCCTTAAGCAACTATAAGAAGTGTGGACTTCAACTCCCAGAATTCCCTAGCCAGCATGCTGGAAATATGAAGTCCACAGATCTTCAGGTTGCCAAACTTGAAAAACACTGTTATAAACCAGTATTTCTCAATCTTGGCAATTTAAGATGGGTGGACTTCAACTCCCAGAATTCCCCAGCCAGTTTTAGCAACTATAGGACATGTGGACTTCAACTCCCAGAATTCCCCAGGCAGCCTTAGCAATTATAAGATCAACTCCCAGAATTCCCCAGCCTTAGCAAATATAAGAAGGGTAGACTTCGTCTCTCAGAATTCCCCAGGCAGCTTTAGTCACTATAAGATGGGTGGACTTCAATTCCCAGAATTCCCCAGCCTTAAGCAACTATAAGAAGTGTGGACTTCAACTCCCAGAATTCCCTAGCCAGCATGCTGGGAAATATAGTCCACCGATCTTCAAATTGTCAATCTTGGAAAACACTGTTGTAAATCAGTATTTATGAACCTTGGCAACTTAAGAAGGGTGGACTTCAACTCCCAGAATTCCCCAGCCAGCCTTAGCAACTATAGGACATGTGGACTTCAACTCCCAGAATTCCCCAGCCTTAGCAAATATAAGAAGGGTAGACTTCATCTCTCAGAATTCCCCAGGCAGCTTTAGTCACTATAAGATGGGTGGACTTCAATTCCCAGAATTCCCCAGCCTTAAGCAACTATAAGAAGTGTGGACTTCAACTCCCAGAATTCCCTAGCCAGCATGCTGGGAAATATAGTCCACCGATCTTCAAATTGTCAATCTTGGAAAACACTGTTCTAAACCAGTGTTTCTCAACTTTGGCAACTTAAGATGGGTGGACTTCAACTCCCAGAATTCCCCAGCCAGTTTTAGCAACTATAGGACATGTGGACTTCAACTCCCAGAATTCCCCAGGCAGCATGCTGGGAAATGTAGTCCACCGATCTTCAAGTTGCCAAACTTGGAAAACACTGTTGTAAATCAGTATTTATGAACCTTGGCAACTTAAGAAGGGTGGACTTCAACTCCCAGAATTCCCCAGCCAGCCTTAGCAACTATAGGACATGTGGACTTCAACTCCCAGAATTCCCCAGCCTTAGCAACTATAAGAAGTGTGGACTTCAACTTCCAGTATTCCCCAGCCAGCCTTAGCAACTATAGTACATGTGGACTTCAATTCCCAGAATTCCCCAGCCTCAGCAACTATAAGGTGGTTGAACTTCAACTCCCAGAATTCCCCAGCCTTAGCAACTATAAGAAGTGTGGACTTCAACTCCCAGAATTCCCCAGTCAGCCTTGGGAGTTGAAGTCCATCCATTTTTTAAAGTTGCCAACTTTGAAACAACAAACAGATCTAAACATATTGTTTCCATTTCTTGTGTGCTGCCTCTGTGATGGGGTTTGCATCTTCAGTTGGCTGTTTTGTTGCAAAGAAATATCTCCAACCCAAATAATAATAATAATAATAATAATTAAAAAAAAACACAAATCCAGGGATCGGGCATCAAACGGAATTTTCTGCATGAGGAAAGAAGGGGCCGTCTCTTAATTTGGCTCCTGATACCTGTGGCCTCTTCGCCTTAATCTCTGGGTCACAGACTCCCGACAGCTGCCAAAAAAGCCGTGGAAATCTGCTGTTTGATGGATTCCACATGCTGCACCGCACATTATTTTCTCCTGCCTAATTTCTCTGCCTAAATGTTGCATCGATCAAAAACAAGACGCTCGGAAAATGTGTAATTGCTGTCATGCAAAGTTTGGACTTCTTCTTCTTTTTTTTTTTTTACAGTTGACGGGTTTTCTGTTTGTTTTTTTTCCCCTAGACAACGAATGCGGCCCCCGTTTTCTTTTCCCCCTTATCCCCGTTTTCGGAGGGATATTACAGGTAGTCTTAAGAGCCGAGGTGGCGCAGTGGTTAGAGTGCAGTATTGCAGGCTACTTCTGCTGATTACCGGCTGGCTGCAGTTTGGCAGATCGAATCTTACCAGGCTCAAGGTCGACTCAGCCTTCCGTCCTTCCGAGGTCCGTAAAATGAGGACCCAGATTGTTGGGGGCAAGAGGCTGACTCTGTAAACCGCTTAGAGAAGGCTGTAAAGCACTGGGAAGCGGTATATAAGTCTAAGGGCTATTCCTTCCTTCCTTCCTTCCCTCCCTCCCTCCTTCCTTTCCTCCCTCCTTCCTTCCTTCCCTCCCTCCCTCCCTCCCTCCTTCCCTCCCTCCCTCCCAGTGGTTAGAATGCAGTATTGCAGGCTAACTCTGCCCACTGCCAGCAGTTCAATCCTGACCGACTGGCTCAAGGTCGACTCAGCCTTCTGTCCTTCCGAGGTCTGTAAAATGAGGACCCAGATTGTTGGGGGCAAGAGGCTGACTCTGTAAACCGCTTAAGAGAGGGCTGTAAAAGCACTATGAAGCGGTATATAAGTCTAAGTGCTATTCCTTCCTTCCTTCCTTCCTTCCTTCCTTCCTTCCTTCCTTCCTTCCTTCCTTCCCTCCCTCCCTCCCTCCCTCCCTCCCTGCCTTTCTCCCAGTGGTTAGAATGAAGTATTGCAGGCTAACTCTGCCCACTGCCAGCAGTTCAATCCTGACCAACTGGCTCAAGGTCGACTCAGCCTTCTGTCCTTCCGAGGTGGGTAAAATGAGGATCCCAGATTATTGGGGGAAAGAGGCTGACTCTGTAAACTGCTTAGAGAGGGCTATAAAGCACTATGAAGCGGTATATAAGTGCTATTCCTTCCTTCCCTCCCTCCTTCCTTCCTTCCTTTCCTTCCTCCTTCCTTCCTTCCTTCCCTCCCTCCCTCCCTCCCTCCCTCCCTCCCTCCCTCCTTCCTTCCTTCCTTCCTTCCTTCCTTCCCTCCCTCTCTCCCTCCCTCCCTCCCTCTCTCCCTCCTTCCTGTGATGTTGCAACTTCGAACGGGTCACTAAATGAAGTGTCGTAAGTCGAGGACTACATGTATTTATATACAACTCAAGGCTAAATTATATGCAGGCAGTCCTTGACTTATGACCACAATTGTAAATAACAGCGTGTGCACCCATTGTAACTATGAATGGTCGCTAAGCCACAGAAAAAAAGTGACTTACGACTGTTTTTCACACTTAACGACCGTTGCGTCATCCCCAAGGGTCAGGTGATCAAAATTCAGGCGTGATCCTATTTATGACGCTTGTGGTGTCCTGGGGATCACTTGATCCCCTTCTGACCAGCACAGGGAAGCCAGATTCCCTTCCCAACTGTGTGGCTCCTTGAACAATGACAGTGATCCACTTAACAACCGTGGTCATAAAAGGGGGCAAAGCTCACTTAAGAACAATCTCGCTTAGCGATGGAAATGTCTTTCTGCTTATTAACGAAAGGGAAGGGGGCATGTATCACTTCCCAAGGCTTTTGGGACAGGTCAAGATACTTATAAAATTAGGTTGAAAGATCTGTAACCTTGCCACAGTTAAATCAAGGATTACCATATCTGTTTTGCAAACTTTTACTAATAAAATAAGTGTAAGAATAATTTTAAAAATACCCTATCTGGGCTATAAAAACCTGGATATAGTACTTATTCCCTGCCATTTAATGAATGTCCTGATTTTGGCATCCTAGATCTAATAATCCTAACATAATAACCAGCATTGTTAATGATAACAATTATATAATATCTCATATATAATTTGTTTACATGAAAAATTATCCTAGATTAGAGGAAAGGTCTATTCTTTTCAGGTGTTCTGTGAAATAATATAGATACAGAATTTAAATGATGGAATTTAGCGATGGAAATGTTTGGCTCAATTCTGAACAAGACCCGATGGCCTAGAGCTGGAGCTCTTGCCTCACAATCAGGAGGTTGTGAGTTCGATCCTAGGTAGAGGCAGATGTAAGGTCTCCTGCTTGGGTGGGGGGTTGGACTAGATGACCTACAAGGTCCCTTCCAACTCTGTTAATCTGACTCTATCTAAAATGATCAAAGCAGACCTGGAGGCTAAAACATACGATGAACGGCTGCAGGAACTGGGCATGGCTAGTCTAGTGAAGAGAAGGACCAGGGGAGACAGGAGAGCATCTTCCAATATTTGAGGGGCTGCCACAGAGAGGAGGGGGGGGGGTCAAGCTATTCTCCAAAGCACCTGAAGGCCAGACAAGGAATAACGGATGGAAACTGATCAGGGAGAGATTCAACCTGGAAATAAGGAGGAATTTTCTGACAGTGAGAACCATCAACCGATAGAACAGAAGTTGCCTTCGGAAGTTGTGGGAGCTTCATCACTGGAGGCTTTCAAGAAGAGACTGGGCTGCCCTCGGTCAGAAATGGTGTAGGGTCTCCTGCTTGGACGGGGGTTGGACTAGATGACCTCCGAGGCCCCTCCCAACTCTGTTATTCTGTTATTTATTTTTTTTTCAGTGAGTGCCGCCATGTTTGAGAACTGCACGGGCTGCGTTATGTGCTCCGAAGACAACGGCTGCGTCTCCTGCCAGCAGCGCCTCTTCCTCCTCATCTGGAGGGACGGGATCCGACAGTACGGGGCCTGCGTCCACGCCTGCCCCCTGGGCTACTACGGGCAGCGAAGCATGGAAGTCAACCGATGCATGAGTAGGTAGCCAGCGCGTGGGAAACAGATTCTCGGAGGAGTCGCGAGGGTGTCAGCAAAATAGAAACACACCAGTTAGAAGGAATGCGTGTAATTTGCGGGCACGCTCGGTTCTCAGTACCCTTTATCTGATTTCTTCTTAATTTATCCAAAAAATTAAAATAGGGACTTCAAAGAAAAAAAAATTATAAAGGCAATACCAAACTAGACAAAATATTTGAAAAAGAGGTGCATTTTTTAAAAAAAACAGATAGAAACAGAGCCGCACGATCATCAGAGGCTGTTTTTTTAACTTTTAAAAGCATTTTTTTCTACAACCTCTTCTGCCAAAAAAAAATGCTTTTAAAAGTTAAAAAAAAAAAAGCCTCTGATGATCGCGCGGCTCAGCTGGGATCGTCAGAGGCTTCTAAAAGCATTTTTTTCTGCAACCTCTTCAGCCAAAGAGGTTGTAGGGAAAAAAATGCCTTTAAAAGCCTCTGGTGATCCCAGCTGAGTTGCCTGATCATCAGAGGCTTCTAAAAGCATTTTTTTCTACAACCTCTTCGGCCGAAGAGGCTGTAGAAAAAAAAAATGCCTTTAAAAGCCTCTGACGATCCTAGCTGAGTTGCCTGATCATCAGAGGCTTCTAAAAGCATTTTTTTCTGCAACCTCTTCAGCCAAAGAGGTTGTAGGGAAAAAAATGCCTTTAAAAGCCTCTGGTGATCCCAGCTGAGTTGCCTGATCATCAGAGGCTTCTAAAAGCATTTTTTTCTAAGGTTGTAGAAAAAATGCTTTTAAAAGTTAAAAAAAAAAAAAAGTTGGCCACGCCCACCCAGTCACATTAACCCCCACCTCACCCCACCAAGCCACGCCCACAGAACCGTTAGTAACAAATATTAGATTTCACCCCTGCTAAGGTGGGACTAGAACTCACCATCTCCTGGTGATCGGCCTAAAGCCAGCCAGCCAGCTTTCGTACCGAAGGTGGGACTAGATCTCACCATCTCCTTCTGATTGGCCCAAAATCACTCAGCTGACTTTGATGGCTAAGGCGGGACTAGAACTCCCAATCTCCCAATGATTGACCCAAAGTCATCCAGCTGAAGTCACTGTCCTGTTTTCTAGCTTAACCACCAAACCCAAACTGGCTCTCTGATAGACAGACTCCATTACGGTCGTAAGCCGAGGACTCCTAGTCTTGGCATGCCAGGCATCATGAGGAGTTAAACTCAGTTTAAAGGTGGCTTTTGCTAACGCGGAACCTCTTTGTTCTAGAATGCCGGTCGCCCAGCTGCGAGAGCTGTTTCAGCAAAGACTTTTGCATGAAATGCCAGGAGCGCTTCTACCTGCACAAGGGGAAATGCTTAAACACCTGTCCTCCCGACACCATGGCCTGGCAGAGCAGCCGGGAATGCCAAGGTAAGCCAAGATTGCCGGAGGGAGTACCCCCCCTACCCACCCCCTTTCCCCACGGCATCCTGGGAGGGGAATTCTGAACATAATCTGGTGCAAAAAAGGTAGCGTTGAATTGACTCTGTTCCACAAGCTGGATTGGGGTCCCAAGGTGGCTCGGCTCAGAGCTGGGCTAGATAGATTTAACAGAGTTGGAAGGGACCCTGCGAGGTCATCTAGTCCAACCCCCCTGCCCAAGCAGGAGACCCTACAGCTGTCCCTACCTAGGATGGAACTCACAACCTCCTGATTGTGAGGCAAGAGCTCCACCTCTAGGCCGCAGCAGCTGGGCTTAAGTGGGCAAAGAGCTGGGCAATGGATAGAAGAGAATATTGGGGGCTCAGAATTGAACGGTGGGGGGTCCTTGGTGCTCTCTGAGCTTGGCGGTTTTCTTGCGGGCGTTTTAGGACCGCGCTGATGATGTTACCTAGTTGGGTCATGAAACGTCTGCAAGTAAACCGCCGAGCTCAGAGAGCACTAAGGACCCCTCGGTCCTCCTCCTCTTTCTCTTCCTCTTCCTCTTCCTCCTCCTCCTCCTCCTCCTCCTCCTCCTCCTCCTCCTCCTCCTCTCCTTCTCCTTCTCCTCTCCTCCTCCTCTCCTTCTCCTTCTCCTCCTTCTCCTTCTCCTCTCCTTCTCCTTCTCTTCTCCTTCTCCTTCTCCTCTCCTTCTCCTCCTCCTCCTCCTCCTCCTCCTCCTCCTCCTCCTCTCCTTCTCCTTCTCCTCCTTCTCCTTCTCCTTCTCCTCTCCTTCTCCTTCTCCTCTCCTTCTCCTCTCCTTCTCCTCCTCCTCCTCTCCTCCTCCTCCTCTCCTTCTCCTTCTCCTCTCCTTCTCCTTCTCTTCTCCTTCTCCTCTCCTCCTCCTCCTCCTCCTCCTCCTCCTCCTCCCTCCTCCCCCTCCTCCTCCCTTTCCTCTCCTGCCTTCCTCCTCCTCCTCAAACTCCACTCCCTCCTAGTACTGATGATGTTCCCTAGTTGGGTCATGAAACATCTGCAAGAAAACAACCCAGCTCAGAGAGCACCAGGGAGCCCACAGTTTGGCAACTGACAAGGTTCTAGTCCTGATTGCGTCTCACTCCCCTCTTCTCTTCTCTCACCCCCACCCCCCACCCCCAGAAAACTGCGAGGCAGCCCCCTGGAGCAATTGGAGCCCCTGCACCAACCAAGGACGGATGTGTGGGCGCAAGTGGGGCTCAGAGATCCGAGTTCGGGAGACACTCCGGAGCGGGAAGGACGAGGCGGCCCTTTGTCCAGTGCTGTCCGAGTCCCGGAATTGTCGGCTGAAGAGACATTGTCCCGGAGGTAAGATTTGGAGACCAGGCTGGGAGATTGGAATCCTACCCTGGCCTGTCCTTACAAAAGATCCTACGGTCTTGTCAGCTTTACCAGGTAGACCAGACTGGAAACCTAGCCAGGTAAGCTAAGCCTACAGGTAGTCCTTCCCTTATGACCACAATTGAGCCCAGCATTTCCGCTGCTAAGGGAGGACATTTGTTAAGTGAGTTTTGCCCCATTTAACAATCTTACTTAGCACTTAAGACTTATATACCTCTTCCCAGTGCTTTCCAGCCCTCTCTAAGCGGTTTACAGAGTCAGCCTATTTTCCCCCAACAATCCGGGTCCTCGTTTTACCCAACTCAGAAGGATGAAAGGCTGAGTTGACCTTGAGATGGTCAGGATTGAACTCCCAGCAGTGGGCAGAGTTAAAGCAAAGGTGGATGGATCGATGGATAGATAGATAGATAGATAGATGTTGGTTGGTTGGTTGGTTGGATGGATGGATGGATGGATGGATGAGATAGATGATAGATAGATAGATAGATAGATAGATAGATAGATAGATAGATAGATAGATATGGTTGGATGGATGGATGGATGGATGGATGGATGGATGGATGGATGGATAGATAGATAGATAGATAGATATGGTTGGTTGGATGGATGGATGGATGGATAGATGGATGGATGGATGGATAGAGATAGATGATAGATAGATAGATAGATAGATAGATAGATAGATAGATGGATATGGTTGGTTGGATGGATGGATGGATGGATGGATGGATGGATAGAGATAGATGATAGATAGATAGATAGATAGATAGATAGATAGATAGATAGATAGATAGATAGATATGGTTGGTTGGATGGATGGATGGATGGATGGATAGAGATAGATGATAGATAGATAGATAGATAGATAGATAGATAGATAGATAGATGATAGATGATAGATAGATAGATGATAGATAGATAGATGATAGATAGATAGATAGATGATAGATGATAGATGATAGATAGATAGATGATAGATAGATAGATAGATGATAGATGATAGATGATAGATAGATAGATGATAGATAGATAGATGATAGATAGATAGATAGATGATAGATAGATAGATAGATAGATAGATAGATAGATAGATAGATATACACATACATACATACATATGGTTGGTTGGATGGACGGACGGACAGACAGACAGGCAGGCAGGCAGGCAGGCAGACAGATGATGGATGATAGAGAGAGAGGGAGGGAGGGAGACGGAGAGAGATGACAGATGATAACATTTCAGAAGCCATCAAGCTGGTTCTGCAAACTTTGCTAAAGTTGAGCCAACTTTCCTCTCCTCTCACTACCCCCCCACAAAAATCCATTGGGCTGGTGTTGAAAAGAGAGTTGAAAACCAGATGTGGATGGGGGGGGCGGTGTTTGTTCTTTTTGGCGGAGGGAGAAGATGTTTTGCTTTCGAATAGCAAACGGGGGCTCCCCTGGCCAAAGATTTCACGCTTCAGTAAGGAAGTAGCCTGACTTCGTTTCTTCTTTGTTTGTTGCCTTGCAGAAAAGAATGAAAACATGAGGAGGAACAAGAAGGAAAGGCAGGAGAGGAGGAGGAAGAAACTAATAGATGCCTTCAAGGTCGCTTAATGAGCTTCAGAGCGAGGGGGTTTGTCCTGGAGGTGGTCATCAGCACCCAATGAAGTCCATCAAGGAGCTCCATCACTGGCCAAATTAAAAAAAATTAGGATGGTTTCTATCTTTTTCTTTCTGCCTTTCAAGGTTCCTGCTCTTCAGTTCCTGGGTTCTCCTTCGAGCTTCTCCACCATGACAGTTCGTGGTGCCTCTTGACCTTCTCTCCAGCATATTGGACAACAGAAGATGGAAGATAGATTCCCATGCTCCATCTTTCCAGATCGATGTCTGAAGCATCATCTCCCTACCTTTCATGATCCATCCACCTCTCCATCTCAGCACCTTTGACTTTATGAAAGCCACCACATCACCACAGGAGGAGCCACCAAGGAACCCAAATAAAGAAGGGACTAACTCTTGTTCTTTGACCTGCTATGGAAGAGGGGGAATGATGGACCATCCAGAAGAGCTGAGGACCACACAGAGAGTCCTATCTAAAGACCTCAAGAGATGGAGCTCTGGAAGGAAATGCAAGATCTCATCTAGCTTTCTTCCGGTTCTTCCTCCACCTTCCCCTTAGAAGGGTTTTCCTGAAAACACTTTCTCAGTGTTATTCATCCTAGGGACGGAATCAATTGTCCAACAAACATGAGTTTAAGAGAAAGGAAGAACCAAACTGGATGTTGTCCCCATTTTTTTCTCACTCAAGAAGTTGAGACGATTGAGGTCATGGGCAACCAACCTATTACTTCTCCATGGAGAAGACAGACCATGTTTTCTTCCCAAGATAGAAGCAAAGCGAACGGTGGCACCGTCTCTAGAGGCAAACTAGGACGTCAGAGAAGGTCAACCAAGCAGGGAAAATTTTCAGAAATGGGTTCCCTGTTGAACAAAACTGATTACTGGGGATTGGGACGGACTTATTTTAATTGACAAATTCACGGGACCAGCTTAGAAAAAAGATCCAGGATTTAATACTACGGCGTCCTCTTATCAGCTCCTGAAAATAAGCAGAACCTTTCATTTTCTACGAATCTCCCAGCTACAACTTTCTGACTTCAACTGGATCATCTGCCAATCCTCGTAGGCCAAACGAGTTGATCCTTTTCTGCTTTCTGGACGCGCTGAGTTCCCATCGCCAGATCTTGTCCGCGTTTCCTCCAGCAAAAGTTGAAATTGGCCACAGCGAGGATGGGACATCCTGACCCAACCTTAAAATGAAGAATAACACGCTTGGAGCAAATTAGGATGCCATCAGCTCAAACTAACTATAACAATCAGTTTTACAAGCCATCGTAGGTTCTCGGAGGCTAAAACATATGAAGAACGGTTGCAGGAACTGGTTACGGCAAATCTAGAGAAAAGAAGGATTAGGGGAGACATGATAGCAGTATTTCAGTATTTGAGGGGCTGCCCCAAAGAGGAGGGAGGGGGATCAAATTATTTTCCAAAGTACCTGAAGGTAGGAGAAGAAGCAACGGATGGAAACTGATCAAGGAGAAAAGCAACCTAGAACTAAGGAGAAACTTCCTAACAGTGAGGACAATCAACCCGTGGAACTGCTTGCCACCAGATGTTGTGGGTGCTCAATTACTGGAGGGTTTTCAGAAGAGATTGGACAACCACTTGTCTGAAATGGTTGAACAGGGGGTTGGACTAGAAGACCTCCAAGGCCCCTTCCAGCTTTGTCATTCTGTAGTTCTGTCTCTCAAGTGTACAACTTTCTCCAGCCGTTTGCATGGATATATTTGTGCACTGCTTCCAATATGTTGGTGTAAGAAATACCAGAACAAAAAGAGGAAAAGTTGGGGTTTTTTGTTTGTTTGTTCATCAAAGGATTCAAATATGACATTTGTATTTAAGTTTTCAGAGCAGGGTGGATAAAAATCAATGATTTTTTTTAAAAAAATCAAAAAAATCAGATTTTTTTTTTATTTAAATCGGATTTTTTTTATTTTTATCAAATTTATTTTAATAAAAAACTTTTGGGGTAAAAATTTATCGTAAAATAGTTTTCTGTTTAAGATACATAAATAATTTAGTTTATTCAGCATGAAATGGAGCTTAGTTATGGAGCAGGAGGCTGTATATTCTGCAACACTGGGACTATCGGTGAGTCAACAGTGGGTCGAAGGAGTAGCAGAGATGACAGTTGCTCTTTAAAAATTATGATTTAAATCGAGCTGATTTAAATCAAGCCTTTTTACTAGTGATTTAAATCATGATTTAAATCGTGATTTAAATCAACTCGATTTAAATCAAATCCACCCTGTTTCAGAGTCCTAATCTTTACTGCTCCAAAATTCGTTTTTTAAATGAACCCATGGCTGTGAGAGTTACCTAGCTAATTCTCGACTTACAATCATGAGTTTCCTGACCATTGGAAGTGACAACGGCAACGGAGAAAGTCTCTTACGACTGGTCCTCGCACTTACGACCATCCCGCATCCTCAGCATCACACAATCACAGTCACTTGGCAAAACGGCACGTATTAATCAGGGCTGCCGTGTCACATGATCCCCATTTGTGAACTTCCCGCCGGCTTTCGACAAGCGAAGTCAACGGGAAAGCCAGGTTCACTTAAGGACCGCACGATCCGCTTAACAACCGTGGCAGAAAAAGATTGTAAAATCCAGCATGAATGACTTAAAACAACCCACCTTGCTTAGCGATGGAAATTCTGCTCCCCGTTTTGGTCGTAAATCAAGGACTGCCCGTCTACAGTTGGAATAATGCTTGTTGGGTATAATTCTTGAAGAATTTCCTTTCAAATTATTCTCACTGAAATAATTGTACTGATAGGGTATGTCTGCAGGAAAATTTACTCCTGAGTAAACATGCACTGTAAATCTACATTCCCCCCCCCACCTTCAAGCTGCAGATTTCAATAGGTTTCTGTATTTTGGGATGAAAGAGAGAGTGGCACGTTCTTATTTCTATAAATAAATAGATTTTATATATATATATATATATATTATAGAGAATTTATTTGTAGAACGGCAACGTATTTAAAGAAAATCCTTCATATCTTTTTAAAATATATATATTTGGGGGGGGATTTTCATTAAAACGAAGTGTTGTAAATAGCTTTTGTTTGGGGTCTTAGACCACATCGAATCTTTTATTCTGTTTTGATTTTTAGCGGGAAAATTAGCCATTTAATTAATGGCCACAGGGAGGCGCCAAAGAGTCGACAAGCACATTTTGCAATCAAAATCTTGCATTTTGTCTTTAAAATCCGACCTTCCCAAATCCGCCCTTCCTGCAGATAGATTGGGATCATCACAGAACCCATCCTCCCCAGCCAGTACAAGAACGACACCCTCCAGTGATCCCCAGCTGAATTAGAAGGTGCGAAGGCCAGGCAGGAAGGAGTAAAACGTTGTGTATTTTTGTGTGTTTGTGTGTGTGTGTGTACTCCGTTGGAAAGCAGGGTAACCGTTGGGTTTGTTCAGTATTCAATAAAGACATCTGTTTAAAAACCTCACACTGTGTCTTGTGTGCGTGGCAGATCCTCACACACCGGCCAGGTTTTCGCTTTAAGACGGTCGGCCCCAGTGTGGGATGCTTGGCAGAAATGTGGAACTAAAACGTGGCGACATTATCAGTGCTAGAAGACAGAATAAATAAGGACCTAGCTAGGTCATGAAGCAAGCAAAGACACCACAATTGTCCTCTTTCCTCCTTCCTCCTTTTCCTCCTTCCTAATTTTCCTCCTCCTTCTCCTCCATGCCTCCTCCTCCTCCATTCTGCAAACACCACTCCTTCACCAACACTGATGAATTTACCTAGTTGGGTCATGTAATGTCTAAGAAAAAAACCCTAGAGCACCAAGGACCCCACAAGTCCTTCGGGAGTAGGGCGGTATACAAATTTAATAAAAGAAAGAAAAGAATCATCCTTCCTTCCTTCCTTCCTTCCTTCCTTCCTTCCTTCCTTCCTTCCTTCCTTCCTTCCTTCCTTCCTTCCTTCCTTCTGTCAGCACTTCAAGCTGCATTTACTCTAGTGCTGACGTAAGAAGGAGAAGCGGAGGCGTCTGGAAAGGGACGTTTGACTTTTTACCTACTTATTTTCCCTGGAGATAATATCCCCTAGGAGATGGGATGGGAGGGGGGAAATTCCTTTGAGCTGGAGCAGTAGATTAGGGATAGAATGACTTGGAAGATGGCCAATGAGTGCAGAGGAGTGGGGAACGGAAAGGGAGGGTTTTGGGTCTGGAAGTCAGTGTTGGCTTCGATGGAGTCGGATTTTAGAATGTCGTGCTTAATAAATAGGAGTTTTCCTTCAAAGACTTTGTTTGAAATGCAATTTATTTGAGACGACCTCGAAACCTGACACTTTCTTCCTTCCTTCCTTCCTTCCTTCTTCCTTCCTTCCTTCCTTCCTTCCTTCCTTCCTTCTTTCTTTCTTTCTTTCTTTCTTTCCCCCCTCCCTCCTCCTCCATTCTGCAAATACCACTCCTTTGTAGTACTGATGATGTTACCTAGTTGGATCATGAAATGTCTGTAAGAAAACAACCAAGCTCAGACAGTATCAAGGACCACACAATCCTCCTTGTCCTCCCTCCCTCCCTCCCTCCCTCCCTCCTTCCTTCCTTCCTTCCTTACCCCCTCCCTCCTCCTCCATTCTGCAAACACCACTCCTTTCAAACACCGATGATGTGATCTAGTCCAACCCCCTAACATCTGCCTCTACCTAGGATTGAACTCATCGAACAGCTGCAGTGATTCGTTTAACACCCATGGCAGGAAAGCTCGTAAAACGGGGCAAAATTCACTTAACCGGTGTCCCGCTTAGTGTGATGACCTGGGGCAAGGCACGGAGGCCACGCAGCCAGCTGATAGTTCAAACTCCCCTTTATTGCTCCAACTTTCCCCTAAACCCTCCCACGTTTATGGCAAGTCCCGGAGAAAAGTGCCCCCCCTCCCCCACAAACACACACACACACACACTTGCAGCAGCCTCTGGCTGCGAGTAGTCCAGCACATGAAACTCCACAAATTCAGCGCTTGTTCCCTTACAAGCGCCCCTCCCCACGGCGTCTCCTTAAATCTCAGTCCCTGTGTGTGCCTTGTGAAGGGGGGGCACTCTCCTCCTGAGTAGTCGGGTCGGCCTGCGCTGTTCTCGCCTTCTCTCCACTCTCCGTGCTTGGGGATCAGGAGGGGGTGATCCTTGCTCGTCGCCTGAGCTCCGTCGCTCCTCATCTCCACCGCCTGCCCTCTATTCCCCCGCTCTCTCGGTCATCTGGCCCCCATTCTTCCTTCCTGGCAAGCTGTCCCAGGCCCACGGGACCTGAGGATGCCTCGTTCTGCTCCTCCCTGCGTTCCTCCGGAGCCAACGAGGCCGCCCCCTCAACCTCCATCAGCCCCAGCTCCGACTCGTCCTCCTCCATGACACTGAGTAACAAAAATATCGGGCTCCATCGTGGTCGTAAGTTCGAGGACTGCCTTTGTTACCAGTCATCTCTCTCTCTGTCTCTCTCTCTCTCCAGGAGATGGCAGTGCAATCCAACCATCGCGGGGGGGGGGGGGGAGAAGAATTTTAATTTTTTCTGTCCGCCCTTTTGGATATCTCGCTTTTGCTTTTGGAGATCCTCAGAAGGAGGAAGTGGGAAGGCTGAAGGTTGAGGTCGAACACGGAGACTTGGCAACCAGCCTCTGTCCATATTTCCACCCAGCCCAGAGGTGAAATGTCTTGGGAAGGATGGGGTCACCCCTTGGTCCGGCTGGGATCAGCCTCCTGGGCCTTCCGAAAAGGCTACGGGAAAAAATAAACAGACGTTTTTAAAAACATTAACCCCGAGTTGCCTTTTTATCCCTTGGGGAGGTGGTCCGGGGGCAGCCTAAAGGCATTTTGCCATCCCTTTCCTTAGAATAACAGAATAAGAGTTGGAAGGGACCTTGTAGGTCATCTAGTCCAGCCCCCCACCCAACCAGGAGACCCTACACCATTTCTGACAGTCCAGGGCTGAAAATAGAATAGAATAGAATAGAATAGAATAGAATAGAATAGAATAGAATAGAATAGAATAGAATAGAATAGAATAGAATAGAATAGAATAGGAATTGGGAATGGAAATGGAAATGGAAATGGAAATGGAAATAGAATACAGAATACAGAATACAGAATACAGAATAGAACAGAACACTAGCTGTATTAAAGAAAGAGGGGAAAAATAGAAAGAGATAGATGATGCGATCAGAGATATTAAAAGAAACTGAATTTATACAAAAGCTCAAGACAGAAATACCCTTTTTTCCCCAAGAAAATAAAACACCAGGAATGCCATTTCAAATAATTTGGGATACTGCTAAAGCCTTTATAAGAGGTCTTATTATTAAATATACAGCCACTAACTACAAAAAAGAAGAACAAGAAAGGGGCGAGTTAATAAGTAAAGTAATAAAAGCTGAGGAACAATTACAAGAAAACCCACTTTCCATAGGAGCAAAAGAACAGATAGCACTCTTAAAACACCAGCTGAATCTTTTGGAGCTAGGCAAATTGAAAGATAGGATAAAGATAGCAAAACAAAAACACTTCGAATCAGAACAGAACAGAACAGAACGAAATAGAATAAGAATAGACTAGACTAGACTAGACTAGACTAGACTAGACTAGACTAGACTAGACTAGACTAGACTAGACTAGAATAGAATAGAATAGAATAGAATAAGAATGGAACGGAACAGAACAGAACAGAACAGAATAGAATAGAATGCAAAATGGAATGGAATGGAAGCTGGAAGGGACCTTGGAGGTCATCTAGTCCAGCCCCCTGCTCAAGCAGGAGAACCTATACCATTTCAGACAAGTGACAGTCCATCTCCTCTTAAAACCATCCATGGTTTCTGGTGGCAAGCTGTTCCACTGATTAATTGTCCTCGCTGTTAGGAAATTCCTCCTTGGTTTTAGGTTGCTTCTCTCCTTGATTAGTTTCCATCCATTGTTCCTTGTGATGCCTTCAGGGGCTTTGGAAAACAGATTGAATTTGACTCCCCCCCTCTTCTTTAGGGCAGCCCTCAAATACTGGAAGGCTGCCATCATGTCCCCCCCACCCGGTCCTTCTTTTCATTAGACTCTGTCCAATTCCTGCAACTGTTCTTCCTATGTTTTAGCCTCCAGTCCCCCTAATCCTCTTTCTTGCTCTTCTCTGCACTTTTCCCATCTTCTTCGTCATACAGGGATCAAAATTGGTTGCAGTCTTCCAGGCGTGTCTTGCATTCCGGAGACCGTTTCGGAACTTTCCCTCCGCAAATTCCAAATTTTCAGCCTAGTGATTTTTTTTTTTTAATTTGATTTTATATGCCGCCCTTCTCCGGAGACTCAGGGCGGCTTACAATGCGCTAAGCAATAGCCTTCATATTTTTGTATATTTATACAAAGTCAGCTTATTGCCCCCACAAACTGGGTCCTCATGTCACCTACCTTAGAAAGATGGAAGGCTGAGTCAACCTTGAGCCTGGTAAGATTCGAACCTGCAGTAATTGCAGGCAGCTGGTCTTAATAACAGGGTGCTTTAGACCACTGTACTACCAAGGCTCCTCACGGATAATTTCCACGGATAATATTCAAATAAGAGCCTGGGTGGCGCAGCAGACTAAAGCACTGTTAAGTAACACCAGCTGCCTGCAATTACTGCAAGTTCAAATCTCACCAGGCTCAGGGTTGACTCAGCCTTCCATCCTTCCGAGGTAGGTAAATGAGGACCCGGATTGTGGGGGCAATAAGCTGACTTTGTATAAAAAAGAACACCGCTTGGGAGGGGGCCGAAAGCCCTACTAAGCAGGTATGTACAAAAGTATGAAGGCTATTGCTTAACGCATTGTAAGCCGCCCTGAGTCTCCGGAGAAGGGCGGCATATAAATCGAACCAAATAAATAAATAAATAAATAAATAAATAAACTTTTCTTTTTAAAAAAAATACTAGGTGGAGACGTTAACCACACATCCCATCAGGTCCAGTAGGAGAGGCATGTTTTTCTTTAAAAAGTTTTTTATTTTTATTTCTCATAAACACATTTACATGTACAGTCATTTATCCATCATTTTTCATTCATCTTATCTTTTAACTTTCATTTTTCATTTTTGTTCTTTCGGGGGCCGCTCTTTTACCCTTTACCTTTACTCCAGCCTTTCTTCTTCTCCTCCCCTTCTCTTCCTTCCTCTTTCTCCTCCTACTTTCTTTGTTCTTCCTCTCCTTCTCTTTCCTGCTTCCCTTTCTCTTCCCCCACTCCACTCTTCTTCCCCCCCCTTCTAACCTTCTCCTCCACTCCTCTTTCCCCTCCCTTTTCTTCCTCTCCTTTTCCCTTTCTTTTTTTCTCCTCTCTTCTACAGTAGGAGAGGCATGTTGTGGGTCACGCCGGGGTCTTCTGACTTTTCCTAAAAATAGGGAGATGACTTCTAGAGCAGGGGTCTCCAACCTTGGCAGCTTTAAGACTTGTGGACTTCGACTCCCAGAATCCTCAGCCAGCTTTGCTGGCTGAG